TTTTTTTTTTAAACAAACACCCCCACCGGTGCTAGTGCTGCTGATAAGAGCAGACACCACTAGCACCTGGGGAGGGGCTCCATCTATTGGTGGGGAGCGTCACCTACTGGAAATCGGGTCTAGCGTCCCATTTACACAATGGTCTGGGGATTGAAAAACACCTGTGACCAGTAACTGTGTGACCTGCCAGCATTGATTACCCGGCAACCAGGGGACTGACTGAGCAGGCCGGTAAAAAGATCAGCAGTGTGGTCTTTTGTGGGCTAGGAGAATTATTGTTGCCTTTGTATCTCTTCACCCTCAGAGAGAGGGCGCCAGATAGGTAGTTAGGGACTGATACTTGTATACGGTTTGCTCACTCCAAACCCGGCCTGATGACTGCCGCTACCTGGTTGCGTCAATTGAATGCTTGTACCTATGGAAGATGGGCGGTATCCTCCCGAGGGGGCTCTAGGAAGGAGTTCCACGCACGGGTGTCTAAAACAACTGAGATAAAGGATAAGGAGGAGGTAAGGGGTGTAAGGAGGATAGGTAAGGGGTGTAAGTCCATGCAAAATGTCGTAATCCTTCTCCTGATGTCTCCAGTCTGCCTAAGAAGATCTAATTGTGCTTTTGTATTTAACCATCTGCGCGTGAGTTCCAGGTGTATTTGCTGTTGGATTTGTTATGTGATCTCTGCGCCCTCCATCCGTACCCTTTCCATGACTAGGGTGCATCGTTGTTACCAGAGTGTCCACATTACCGCCCTCCTTCCGATTATGTACATGTTTTCTAAAAAGGTCGTGGTTGTCCTTACCAAGGGCCAATGTCTAGCCAATATGGCTAGCCATGACCAGGGCCAGGGAGTGTCCAGTTCCATTTTTCGCCAGATACGGTCCCACCACCTCCATGTAAATTAGGCAATCGGACACTACATGAAAATATGTTCAATGGTTTCTGCCTTCTTGTAGGAAGGTTAGAGGCTCTGGCATCGCTGGCACCATGGGAGCAGCAGGCCTCTTTGTTCGAGGTTTGTGCGGTCGATTAGCTAGTCATTGGTTGGCAGACAACGGTGAACTATCTGCCACTGTAAAAAAGTGATTTTCATGGGTTTGTGTTTTTGTTCCTTGAACCATTGGATCGGTGACAGTAGGGAGCGGTCCACATTCAGATGTCTGGCCCAACTCTCATTAATCATATCTTTCAGATGTCGTTTTAGTTGGAGCATTTTGTAAGCTGATTTGACCGTTAGTAGGTGCAAACTGTTGTGACTTGCCTTGGGGGCGCCCCTCTTTTGAGGGGGCTGCCAAGTCCATTCCACCGGGTCCAGAGCCAGGTCTTGGATTGGTTTATCTAGCTGGAACGCCACCCCCTGTCCCTTCTCTTCGATAACTCTCACTCGAAATACTGATACTTTTTTTTCCATTCGAAGGGTGCCCTGTTCCCCTGAAAGGTGTTTGTTTTGGTGATAGCATCGTATTCGACCGAGACCCTTTGGGGGGAAGCCATGTGTATCAAGCCAATCCGCTGCGGGGTCTCTGTGGATGCCACCCAATCACCCTCTCTCAAGGTGGGTCGTCGTCTGAGGATCCGGTACCATTCTAGTGGAATGACTTCAATAAGGTTTTCCAGAAGCTCCTCTACGTGGTGGCAGTGCTTTAGAGTTGCTCGCAGTTGGTCGCCCGTTTTCCAGTCTTGCCTTTCATTGTCCCAGAGGTCCCCCACCCTGAGTACCCCGTGTTTAACCCAACCCTTCCAGGGTGGGGATGAGCTTATCATCATCTGGTCCCTCGTGTCTGTCACCCATCTATTGCCAAAGAGGGGTTGACGATAGACCTCCTCCCAACGGTTGGGTTGGGTCCTATCTGGGAGCGGGAGTTTACGCCAAGTCTGCAGCAAGGATGGTCAAAATTTATCCAACGACTGACCCCCTCTTTCTAACCCTTCCCTTCCATATGGGAGTTTGCGTGGGATTGACCAGAAACGGTCCTCCAAGCAGGTAAGCGGATGGATCGTATGGGGAGTAGGTGGAGCCAGCCGGGCCAGATGCTCCAAAGCTAGAATGCACCATGGACTCTAGGGGGCAAAGATGAGTTTTTTAATCCATTTGACTCGTAGTGCCTGTACCTGCGTGGCTGGGTCAAGTATTCCCAAGCCACCCCCTGCTTTCGGTTGGATGATAGAGTCCCAGGCCACTTTGGTAATTAGATTATCCGGCTCTCCATCCCCCCTCCATAGAAAGGCTGCTGCATTTTGCTTTAGGCCTCTCAGGGCCTCTTTGCTTAGTAGCCATAGCAGAGACTTGTACCACAGTGACACAAAAACTACGTTGTTGAGAACTCGCGCGCGGCAAAGAGGGATGTGTGTTTGTTTCCCTAGTTGGTTAATTTATGCCGAGCCGGGGTGCTGATCCATTCGTCATTAATTGGTGGCCGCCCCTCTGCAGTCATGGACACCCCTATGACTCTTATTGGGGTTTCTATTGGCATCCAGGCAATACGTGGAGTCTCAGGGGGCGTCCTCCTTGATAGTGGATCCACCATCCTTATGTCTTAGACCCCCAGTTGACAGACATGCCGGAAACCTTAGTAATTTTCTCCATCAAGTGTTGAATTTCCTTCATATTGTGTTGTGTGGCCTCTGCCATGATTGTGAGATCATCTGCGAACAGGGAGCACATCAGGACTGCATCCTCTGGGATGCGTGTTACTCGTAGTTCGGTGATGTTTTTGTTCGCCCGAAGATTAGCGGCTAGTGCCTCCATAATGACTAGGAAAAGGAAAGGGGCAATAGGATCCCCTTGGCGGACCGATCATTCTAAGTGTAGAGGGGGAGCAAGACTTCCGTTGACTTGGACGCACGTGGTAGCGTTTTTGTGTAGGATTTGTATCCAACGTCTGAAGTCTATCTAGAAACAACCAGTCCACGTGATCATAAGCCTTTTCGAAGTCAATGAAAATGAGAGCTGCATTTTGATGGGAGTGCCTCGTGAGTTGAAGGATCTCATGGATCAACAGGATGTTTTATTGTATGTTCCTGTTCTCCATGAAACCGGTTTGAGCGGGATGAATGATGTCCTCCATTACTGGAATCATTCGGTTTGCCAAGGTCTTAAACAACATTTTGTACACAACTGTGAGGAGCGTTATTGGTCTATAATTCCTGATGTTCATTTTATCTCCTTTTTTATATAGGAGGGTTAATATCCCTTGCCCCACTCTTTCTCTTATCTCCCCTGCGAGCCATACTTCGTTGTAAGAATCCATAACGTCTTGGCTCATAAAATCCCATGT